CCCGCCTGCCTCACAGGCACGCCTGGCGGGGACGAGGGACAGGGCCTTCTCGGTGGTGGCCCCCCAGCTGTGGAACACCCTCCCTGTAGACATCAGACAGGCGCCCTCCCTTATGACATTCCGCAAGAGCCTAAAGACATGGTTATTTGAGAAGGCGTTTGACTAAGTGCTACAACAATTGGCAATGATGACTGGAACGGAATATGGATAACGAGATTGGTTTATGATTTTACGACGAGACGGCGCGGATGATTTAGTGTAATTGTATTATTGATAGTTATGTTGATTTTTGTTGTGCCTTATTGTAAACTGTTTTTATATGTTGTACACTGCCGTGAGTCGCCCTAGGGCTGAGAACGGCAGTCAACAAATGCAGTAAATAAATAAACAGTAAATAAATATACTGCAAGTCGCTTCTGATGTGAGAGAATTGGCCGTCTGTAAGGATGTTGCCCAAGGGACACCTGGATGTGTTACCATCTTGTGTCAGACTTCTCCTATGTCCCCACATGGGAAAGTGGGGCTGACAGGAACTCATCCCTTCTTGTGGATTCAAACCACCGACCTTCAGGTCTTCAGGTCAGCAGTTCAGCCGGCGCAAGGGGTTGACCCATTGTGCCACTGTGGAATCAATCAGGTCATGATGAAGAGCCATATACTCACATAACAGCTATGCATGTATAGACTCTGATTAATATATAATGTATGGCTAACAAGGATGACTTTTGAGGGCAAAACCTAATAACCATGATCTCAAACTGAACCATAGGTGTTTAATGAATATACATTTGTGTGTATATACACAAATGTATATACACACAAATGGGATTGTGGCGCAGCTGGCTGAGTGTCCGCTGCATTAAGATCACTCTGACCAAAAGGTCATGAGTTCGAAGCCAGCCCGGGTTGGAGTGGGTTTCCAACCATTGTGTAGCCCGTTGTCTACCTTTGCAACCTGAAAGACAGTTGCATCTGTCAAGTAGGAAAATAAGGTACCACCTTAAAAGTGTGGGGAGGCTAAAATTAACTAATTTATGAGGCCATAAAGAAGCACTCCAGAGGGGAAGCATGCAAGGAATGCGGAGGTACTTCATCAGCATTGCAGATGGACGATAAAAGCGACAGCTCCCCTGGCGGTCAGAAAAAAGTTAAATAGACTCTGTGTAAGTCTGTATATGTCTGTACGTCAAAATTGGCATTGAATGTTTGCCATATATGTGTACACTGTAATCAGCCCTAAGTCCCGCCCTGAGTCCCCTGCGGGGTAAGAAGGGCGGAATATAAAAGCTGTAAATAAATAAATAAATAAATATATACAGTAGAGTCTTGCTTATCCAACTTTCACTCACCTAACATTCTGTATAATCCAACGCAGGCTGCCTCCCACCCTGATCCACAGCTGTTTCAATACATTATGATGTTTTGATGCTAAATTTGTAAATACAGTGATTACTACATAAAGTTACCATGTATTGAACTGCTTTTTCTGTCGATTTGTTGTAAAACATGATGTTTTGGTGCTTAATTTGTAAAACCATAATGTAATTTGATGTTTAATGAGCTTTCCCCTTAATCTCTCCTTATTATTCAACATTTTTGCTTACCCAACATTCTGTCAGCCCATTTATGTTGGATAAGTGAGACTTTACTATATATACAGCTGTAAGATGCATACAAGCCTTGTTAAGAATTTTGCATATTAAAATAATAGCTTCTATAGGACTTGGAAACATAAGCAGGCAGTACAACTAGAACATAGCCACACTGTCCAATATCATTTATGTATGGCAGGGCTAAGGAACATGGGATTCCAGAATTAATTAACTGCTAATTAGTCCTAGCCAGCATAGCCAACGTGGAAAGATCATATGTTACCATCCTGGCCATGTACAAATATGTGAGGGGAAGTCATAGGGAGAAGGGAGCAAGCTTGTTTTCTGCTGCCCTGAAGGCTAGGACGTGGAGCCATGGCTTCAAACTACAGGACAGGAGATTCCACCTGAACATGAGGAAGAACTTAACTGTGAGAGCTGTTCAGCAGTGGAACTCTCTGCCCCGGAGTGTGGTGGAGGCTTCTTCTTTGGAGGCTTTTAAAGAGAGGCTGGATGGCCATTTGTTGGGGGTGCTTTGAATGTAATTTTTCTGCTTCTTGGCAGGGGGTTGGACTGAATGGCCCACGAGGTCTCTTCCAATTCTATGATTCTATGGGGAGTGCAGTCTAGCCATATTCTGCATTCTTGGTGTATGGTTTGGTACTCATGTTCCTTTTCCATCTATACCAAGTTAATGTTCCTCTTAATATTTTGAATGCATTATCAGTGAGTAGATCTTAATGTTGGTTGAATTCATTGCCAGGGTTTTCTTGATACAATTGGGTATGTTCTAAATGTGAGTTGTACAAATCAGGTGTATGTGATGATTTGAATAATGTATGATATTTGAATAATGTATTATCACTCCTTTGGGGCAGAAGAAATTTAATGATGGAGCCAGTGCTCCATCCCAAAACCCCTCAGCACCCAGCACAGGATGTAGGGGTATGTTCTTCCTAGACGTTGTGGTCAAAGGAAGATTAATCATAGCAGTGCCACTATTGAAGTACTGAGCCTGTTATTTTGGCATATTAGGGAAACAATGGGGCTTTGGTTCTCTGCTCTGACTTCCTCCCAAAGCCACATTTTTATTCTCATCATCAGTTCAACATCTATGACTACGAAGCATGACCTTTTTCTCCACAGGTGGAGCAACAATTGCATCAGTGTTCTGGCATAATTTGCCAAGAGATGCAGAGATGGGCAGGGACAAGATTGCTCTTAAGAAGCAGCCTCACTCTCCATCTTTCCTCTTGGATGTCTTTGACCCACTGTCCCACCTCCTTACATAGTGTAATAGTATTGGTTGCTACTGGGCTGGATAGGAATTTTCTCCTCCCCCTTTATGGGATTTAAGGGGCCCCCTGGTGGCACAGTGGGTTAAACCTCTGAGCAGCTGAGCTTGCTGACCGAAAGGTTGGTGGTGAGCTCCCAATGTTAGACTCAGCTTCTGTCAACCTAGCAGTTTGAAAACATGCAAATGTGAGTAGATCAATAGGTACCACTTCTGCAGGAAGGTAACGGTGCTCCATGCAGTCATGCTGACCACATGACCTTGGAGGTGTCTATGGACAGTGCCAGCTCTTCAGCTAAGAAATGGAGATGAGCACTAACCCCCAGAGTTGGACACGAAAGGACTTAATTTCGGGGAAACCTTTACATTTATCTTTTATGGGATTGTCCCCCTATTCTATACTTTTATGGAAAACGAGACAACAGATTAAGGGTGGTGTCTTAAATAAGTCTCTATAACAGATGTTGGGGAGAAGTACAAACCAGTCATTCTGGGGCTTTTCTTTAGGATGGGAATTGGCAACTGCCCCTGTGTATCCCAGAATATGGGGGTGGGAAAAAATCTCCTATCATTGGGGCTGGTCTCTGGGACTTTACCCTCACCAGAGACTTGGTGGCCTAGTGGCTTACACTCTATGACTGGATTTCCAGTTAATTAGTTGGCCAGAGAGCAGCCCTGACTTTCAGGATTTCCTCTCAAGGGCAATGATGTTTTCACCCAGTGGAGGCTGGAGGGTCTGGTCTGCAGAGACCAACCACCCTGGCCGCTCCTGTATCAAACTGCACCCCCTATTTAGAAAGACATAGGTAACAGTTAATAAAGTTGCTCTTATTTTATTCCATCATTTGTGCTGGTTCTATTTATTTCTCAGGTTGGGCAGCAACAGTCAGGTGTAGAGCCAGGATGAAGAGACTCATTCTGAGGTTCTAAATCAGTTACAGATAGATCTTTTGAGGGTGTGTTCTAGTGGTGATTAGGCCAAAAGCAAAAGGAAAGGAGATTCCACCTGAACATGAGGAAGAACTTCCTTACTGTGAGAGCTGTTAAGCAGTGGAACTCTCTTCCCTGGAGTGTGGTGGAGGCTCATTCTTTGGAGGCTTTTAAACAGAGCCTGGATGACCATCTGTCGGGAGTGCTTTTAATGTGATTTTCCTGCTTCTTGGCAGGGGGTTGGATTGCCCACAAGGTCTCTTCCAATGCTATGATTCTATGGGGAGTGCAGTCCAGCCACATTCTGCATTGTTGGTGTATGGTTTGGTGCTCATGTTTCTTTTCTATCTATACCAAGTTTCCCCCTTAATATTTGGCAGGGGGTTGGAGTGGATGGTCCACAAGGTCTCTTCCAACCCTATAATTCTATGAGTTGGATAAAAACAACACATTTCAAGTTTACTGACTAACAAAAATCTGAGGACATTTCAACATTTTAGAATGGGGAAAACCTTGAGAAAAAATGGAAAATCACCAAAATAGAATCATAGTAAAGAGGATATAGAACCACAGAGTTGGAAGTGATTCAGTCCAACACCCTGCCATGCAACAAAATGCAATCAAAGCACTCCTGAGAGATGGCCATCCACTTTCAGAGGAGGAGACTCCACTGTGCTCAGGGCAGCCACCTAGGGATCCCTATAAGGTCCAGTTTGGCCCTTGAACCCGAGGTTCCTTTGTCCTGTAACAGAGTAATGGAATAACAGGATTATGGACCAGGAAGAGACCACAAAGGCTGTCCAGCCCAACCCCCTGCCATGCCCACCACGCAATATTTGAAAGTATGGAGTAACTTTCCTTTATTATTTTTTTAGATACTAAAAAAGGTGGGGGGAAGCTGTTACAAGGCAGCTTCCCCCCACCTCTGTTACTTTTTGGTCACCTCTTCATTGGGGAAAAGATCCGGAGTCCTCTAAAACCTTGCACCCCTTCCTGTGTGTGTTTTGGTGTGATTTCTCTGGTGGCCAAGAATTATTTGTGAGTCAAGACTTTGACTTTTGATGCTTCCTTCTCCCTCACTTCTTCTTCCCCTTTGTCTGCCCTGAAGGAAATGGAGATAATTGCCTATCTCCTCCCTCAGCCCTCCCCCCCCCCGCTTCCCCCTCCCCTCCGCCTGGATTGACGTCTAGCGTGGCGAAGGCGCTTCTTCTGCCAACAGGTGCGCCTGGCGCTCTTCGCCGGCTATAAAGGCAGCTCCGTCTCAGCGAGGCTGGATCACCGCCGCTCATTCCTTCAGCACCATGGAGAGCTCCCGACTGCTGGCCTTGCTAGGGGCCGCCTTGGTGCTGCTGACCAGCGCCGCTTGGGGCCAAGAGGAGGGCGAGCTCCAGCCCAGAGCCGTGGACCTCTACTCCGCCGTGGAGGACACCTCCCGCGAGAAGGAGCTGGTAGGTCCTGCCCTTGGGGTCGGGGGACAAGAGTTCCTTACACTTTGGGGGGGGGGGAAGGGGGTCTTCTCACAGCTAGGAAGCTTTGCTTTTGCTTCGCTTAAGGAGCAGAGCCAGGGAAACTTTGGATCTGCTGGAAAGTTGGAGGGAGGAAAGATCTCAGTCTAAGGGACACCACAAATTTGTGTTGCTAACTCCTTGCTTTCCCCACCACCTTTAGGGAGGGACTAGGTTCATTTTCAGAACCCCCAATTCGCCCCCATCTCTGTTCTGTCTCTTGATGGGGAACTCTTTGGGTATCTCTGCAGATCGAGGCGCTCCAAGAAGTCCTGGAGAAGCTCAAAAGCAAGCGGCTCCCTTTGTACGAGAAGAAGTATGGCCAAGTCCCCATGGTGAGTGGCTTTGCATGTTTCTGGTATGGGCAAACTGTGGCCCTCTGGGTGTTTTGGACTGCAACTCCCACAATTCCTAACAGCCCCAGGACCCTTCCATTGACCACAGTGGTCCACACTCTTGCTACCTCTCAAATAGACTACTGCAATGTGCTTTATGTGAGGTTGCTTTTGAAGACTGTCCGGAACCTTCAAGTAGTCCAATGGGTGGCAGCCAGAAAAGGAAAGGGTCTGAGGCTGTAAGGAATTGTGGAAGTTGAAGTCGCCCTAGGGCTGAGAGCGGCGGTCTACAAATGAATCAAATAAATAAATAAATAAATAAACACCCAGAGGGACAAAGTTTGCCCGTACCTGATCTATACTATAGACTTATAGAATCCTAGAGTTGGAAGAGACCTCAAGGGCCATCCAGTCCAACCCCGATAAATCCACTTGGACACCACTTTAATCCCCTCAATGCCATTGAACATTGGGAGTTGTAGTTTGGTGAGAACTCTTTGGCAGAGAAAGCTAAAGGCTAGAACTCCCATGATTCTATAGCACAGAGCCTTGGAATGTGGTGCATTAATTCTACAGTGTAGATGCACCCTTCGAGTTTTCTGTGGACCTATGGCAGCCCTCTGAATTTCATAGGGTTTTTGTAGGCAGGGAATACTCAGACATAGTTTTCCAGGTTTTTCCTCTGAAATAGACCCTACAACTAAAAGCTGTGTGTATTTGTGTGTGTGTGTGTGTGTGTGTGTGTGTGTGTAAACGACAATGTTTTCCTGAACAAAAGGAAAATGGAGGAGAGGAATAGAATCATAGAGTTGGAAGAGACCGTGTGGGCCATCCAGTCCAACCCCCTGTCAAAAAGCAGGAGAATTGCATTCAAAGCACCCCTGACAGATGACCATCCAGCCTCTGTTTAAGGAGTCTCTACCACACTCTGGGGCAGAGAGTTCCACTGCTGAACAGCTCTCACAGGACATTCTTGCTAATGTTCAGCTGGAATCTCCTTTCCTGTAGTTTGAAGCCTTTGAAGCCAATGAGCACAGTAAGCTTTACTTTGGTGTAGGGACACCTGACATTGTGCTGGAAACTTGCTTTCTTTGAATGTAATTCAGCTGAGTCAAATGGGATTTACCCTCAAGTTAATGTACGTGGCTAGGAGACCCTAGTGGCACAATGGGTTAAGCTATTGTGCCGGCAGGACTGCCGACCAACAGGTCAGTGGTTCAAATCCGGGGAGAGTGGGTTGAGCTCCCTCTGTCGGCTCCAGCTCCCCATGCAGGGACATGAGAGAAGCCTTCCACAAGGATGGTAAAACATCAAACATCCGGGCATCTCCTTGCAGACGGCCAATTCTCTCACACCAAAAGCAACTTGCAGTTTCTCAAGTCACTCCTGACACAAGAAAAAAATGTACATGGCTTTGCAGTTGTACCCCTTTCTTGTGTAGTTTGTTGCCTCCTGTGGTTTTAAATGAGAGAGACCCCAGAATACCTTTCAAATAATGTTTTTTTCTTTAAAAAATAAATGAGAGTGTGACCATTTGTTTCAATTGAAGACTAGGAATTATACACTTCTTAAACTCAGTTGGCTATCCAGAGTTTGAAAATATGTCCCCCTCCAAAGAAAATATTCCAAAAAAACACCCCAAATCTTGATTTTGTATTTTAATATAAGGGACTCTGTTGTATATAATGGGACTTGAGCATCCATATATTTTGATATCCACAGGGAAGTGAGGAGATCCTGGGATTACACCCTAGGGTCCACTGTACTGGGATGAGGGGAATGAAAGTGTTATTCATATTTAAATTTCCAAGTGTGGAGTGGATTTTAAAAAAATGGAGAGGATTTCAAAGTAGAAATCTTACAGTGAATGTTCTATTTGGTACCTGTTTCAGTTTCTAGTCCATAAATAATTAACATTTTAGTGAAAAAGTCTGTACCTTGATCAAGAAAACAGTTGATTAAGTTTAAGTAAAGGTTTCCCCAGACATTAAGTCTAGTCGTGTCCAACTCTTGGGCGTGGTACTCATCTCCATTTCCAAGCCAAAGAGCCAACGTTGTCCATAGACACCTCCAAGTTCATGTGGTCGGCATGACTGCATGAAGCGCCGTTACCTTCCTTCCAGAGTGGTACCTATTAATCTACTCACATTTGAATGTTTTTGAACTTCTAGTTTGGCAGAAGCTGAGGCTAACAGTGGGAGCTCATCCTGCTCCCCAGATTCAAACCACCAACCATTCGGTCAGCAAGTTCAGCAGCTCAGCAATTTAACATGCTGTGTCACTGGGGGGCTCCTGATTAAGTTTAGATACTGTATATTTTCACTTTAAACTAAGTGTCCCTTGAAAGTATCTTTGCATGAGTGACTTGATAAGAGCTAAAGACGCATTACAGATTTTAATGTAGATCTTTGGAAAAATTCCAATATTATCACACTAAGTCAAAGTAATTTGATTTCCCCTCTATTTTCTTTTGATCTCCTATTACACTTTTGGAATATGAATACATTCTCAAGGATTAAATTAATCTGTCTATGAATGTCTCTCTGGTGTCTGTTGGCACATGTAGAAATTGTACTGTTGCAGAAGTTTTATTGTCTTCCTCTGATACTGTGTAATGTTCTTTGAAGCAAACATCTAACTGTTGGTTTCTGCCAATCGTAGTGTGATGCCGGAGAGCAGTGTGCACTGAGAAAAGGAGCCAGGATTGGGAAGCTCTGTGACTGCCCCAGAGGAACCTCTTGTAACACTTTCCTCCTGAAATGTTTGTAAGGAAACCATCCCGTCAAACCATTGAAGAACGGAAAAGAACCAGATGCTTTGCCTGAAGAATTTTGCTTGTGACATCAAGTAAAATTGTGTGTTTTGGGGGTGTAGAATGGTCTCCCCAACAGCAAACAAAGAAAAAATAGGGGAAAGAAAGCAGTTATAACATGCAACTGTTGCTTTTTGGATGTCTGATATTTTTGGCACCACCATGTTTTTCTCCATCTTGCCATTTGAATTTCTTATTTCATTCTATGCTCCTTCTTTCCATTTCATATGTACCTAGTGTAGAGATGGACTGATATTTTGAAAACTGTATTTTTGTAAGTGGAAGGTCATCATGAAAATTAGATGCAGGCAGGATACATGGATTCATCTGTCTTTTTTATAGTTAATTATGTGAAAGAGAGGACAAATGGAAGGGCACAGCATACTAACTATAGAAAGGACACCCCTCATATGTTCATTTCTCACCTGTGAAAAATATGTAATGTATTGTAAGTAAACATCGGCACTGTTTCCTAATACCTTTCTGCCAGTTCTTTTGTCTCAGTTTTGTAGAAATTTCAAAGTGCATCATGTTCCCCTTTGGGACATCAACTGGTAGAATCAATAACAATGGGAGCAATTTGCATACTGCATGTTAGGTTTAATGGAAGTGACAAGTGGAGTCTAAAAATACCTTTCAAAGACGTAAATATTCCCATTTCAAAAGGTAATGATCTGTATTATGTAGTCAGTTGTCAAGACAGTGATTGAGTAGTGTGAAAACTTCAAGGGAGGCATCTAGGTTGGTCAACCGCCCCTTCTCATCAATACATGCTCTGCTTTTGTGCCTGTTTCTTGGCTATTGATGTTGGTGGTTTGAAAGCGGTTTTATACAGACGTCATGTTTGGATGAGCTAGAGAATGTTTTTAAAAAGCTGAAACAATTGGAAGGATTTTAAATTAAAAAAACAGAGCCAAACTAAGCTTCCAGGGAGCCAGAAAAAGAAGAGAGGATTATTTTGCTACTGATCTTCTTTTCCTTATCTAATTGCCCCCTTTGACTGTTGTGGTTCTGTTGTGATGATGATATCATTTTGGTTTTGGATGTAAGGAACGGTTCTATCAGAAGGAAAAGCACTCTAATAGATGCATCTTTGGCCGTTGTCCAGAAGGGGTTGTTTTAAAGACCCAATGCAGCTAATCAGTGCAAACAGCTCATCCAGTAAATTGATTTCTGTGTTAAACTTTGGCAAAGGACTGAAAATTATCATGCCAAGTGTCAGAAGTGCCAAGTTGTTCACATGGCAGCATGAAGAGCCACAACACTGAAGTTGTACAAAATCCTATGAAATATAGGCAATTTTGTTGATACTTGCTATATTTATTTATTTATTCATTTATTTAAAGTATTTATATTCTGCCCTTCTCACCCCGAAGGGGACTCATGGCGGAGCACAACACATATATAGCAAACATTCAATGCCAGAGTAAAACAAACTAATAATATACACAAACATTAAAATCAGTTGTATCCACTTTAAAATCAAATTGTTACTTTTGATGTTTTCAGTAAGGCACCTGACACACAGCATGTCCCTTAGAGAAGGATAGGAATTGTGCAACTTCACATGTGTCGTTGAACTTCAACTCCCAGCATCTTTAAACAACATAGTCAATTGTGAGGATTGTTGAGAAATGCAGTTGAATAACATCTGGAGGGCCTCACAATTCTCATTGTTGCCTTAGATAGACATAATCTTTGTCCTGACACTCTCATAATTCTCATTCTCATTTCTGTTTATGTATACAGAGGCACGTTTTTATCATTGCGATAAGTGGGAATATTACATGCGAAGTAGGTGTATGTATGGCTCAACTGGTCGGGGTCTAGAATTTGAAACAGGTCACCTATGTACTTTTGTAATAAACAATGTACAATTCATGCATCTAAATGTTTTTCAATAATGTCTCGTTGTCTTTAAAACTTGTATTTATTGTTAATAAAATCATTGCTACAAGACCCTACAAGGATAGACCTTTTTGTTGCTTGAATATTTCCGGATACATTTAGATTATTGCATTTCAGACATTTGGGTTTGTATGGGTACAGGTCCTTCTCACCAAGCACAAATGTAAATTTACAGAGAGTGTATAAATGGCTATGCTGGAGTCTCGACAATGGATTAATCAAAATTGGATTAGGTGCATTTGAAATTTGGAAGAGTATCAGTGCTGCAACTTCAGGGTCTTTGTACCATTAACTGCAGTTATCAGATTAAGATTTTAAGCAGCATAGATGTCTAAGTGGTATTGGAACATCTAGGTTAATCTCCAAGGGATTTAAACGGTCACTTGGAATGCATGGTAACATTAGGCATATCAATTTCTATGGAGCTCAGGGATTTGTGCCCTTACAAGATTACGTGAGCTGTTGTTCTCGTTCTTGTGTGCTTTCAGATAATTTCTGATTCATGGTAACCCTAAGAGGGACCGATCTCTTAATTTTCTTTATGAGATTTCTTTAGAGGACATTTTGCCATTAACTTCATTTTGGGAATTTGTGGAGGTAGGACTTGCCCAAAGCTGCCCAATGGGTTTCCACAGCTGACTGAGGATTCAATCCTTGGGGTCCTGGATATCTAATTCAATGCTCAAACAACTACATCACATTAATTCAGATATTTGTATTTTCTGTGAGGATTTTAGTTGGATTTTTTTTCTGGGATCCAGTATTAATAGTCATTCTGGCACCATTCTGGTCCTTATGCTACAATGAAGGCATGCAAAGTTAACTTGTCTTACCACCAAAATCCTGCCAGTAGGGCTCTTAAATATTAGGTAAAAGGTAAAGGTAAAGTTTCCCCCTGATATTAAGTCTTGTTGTGTCCGACTCTGGAGGGTGGTCCTCATCTCCATTTCTAAGTCGAAGAACTGGCATTGTCCATAGACACTTCCAAGGTCATGTGGCCAGCATGACTGCAAGGAGTGCCATTACCTTCCCACTGGAGTGGTACCAATTGATCTACTCACATTTGCATATTTTCAAACTGCTAGGTTGGCAGAAGTTGAGGCTAACAGCAGGAGCTCACCCTGCTCCCTGGATTCGAACCAGTGACCTTTCGGTCAGCAAGTTCAGCAGCTCAGTGGTTTAACCCACTACACCATGGGGGCTCCTTAAATAGATCCTTTTTTTAACCTTATGATTGTTCTTTGCCTCAATTAATCCAGGATGAGCATACTTTCTACTTCTCAATCATCAGCAAACAAAATAATTACAAATTCACATATAAATACTTGAAAGACTGAAAGAGAAAGAAATATCATTTAAAACTGAACACTCAAACTGTGAATAATAATAATAATAGCAATAATAATAATTCGCCACCCTACTCGGATCTGCACACATTATACAGCCCTAGGCACTTGGGAAGTGTCTGATGTGTGATCCAATACAATAGCCAGCATAGTGCTCTTGTGTGCTGTGTACTAATCTTGTTGTGTTTCAAATAACAACAATAATAACTTTATTTTTATACCCCACTGCCATCTCCCCAAAGGGAATTGGGGCAGACAAAATGTCCACAGAATGTCACAACAAAACAATCAATTAAAAACAAAAACACACAATTAATATAAAACATAGCAAAGCATACAATCAAATAAAACTCAAATAAAACATATGGGTATAAAACAGCAGCATTCAAAAAACTCACTGAAACAATACACAACAAAAAACAATAACCAGCATACTAAAATGGGCATAATCAGGGTATAAAGAGGACTGGGCTTGAGAAAGTGCAAAACAGAGTAGTGCAGGCCCAAGGAATTGGAAGAAATGCAGAGAACAGAGTACTATCTGGCAAGCTAGGGACTGGACATTTATAAGTAGGGACTAGTAAACTAAAAGAGGGTGATAATTACATTGATTCAGGAGGGGATAATTTACAATGAGCCCTTTAAATGCTATAATCCATGTAACAGTGTGTTCAAGGACAAGCAGTGCACATTGAGCTAAATCCTGTTAGTAGAGTTGGCCCATTAAATCAATGACTCACTACATCATTGTGGATTCAATCGGTTTAATCTAGTAGGACTCCAAATCTATTCTTATGATCAGGCAAAAGAGCCATTATTATTTCCAGGTTGACATATACCTTTTTCTAGGTCTACACATTCAGCTAGAAATGAGTTTGTTCACAGTGATCTCCAGGAATCCTTGGGCACTACATTATGTTTTGATCTCGGTGTATAACAGAAGTAGTTTGCAACTACTTAAGAAAAATATATGATAGCCTGGCCTTTGTTAGATTAATGTCAAAGTAGTAGACAAAGGAGCCCCGGTGGTGCAGTGGGTTGAACTGCTGAACTTGCTGACCAAAAGATCAGTGGTTCAAATCTGGGGAGCAGGGGGGGCTCCCGCTGTTAGCTCTAGCTTCTGCCAACCTAGCAGTTCAAAAACATGCAAATGTGAGTACATCAAAAGGTACCGCTTGGGCCGGAAGATATGGAGCTCCATGTAGTCATGCCAGCCACATGACCTTAGAGGCATCTATGGATAACACCAGCTCTTCAGCTTAGAAATGGACATGAGTACCACCCCCCAGAGTCGGACACAACTAGACTTAGGAAAATCTTTGCCTTTACTTTAGTAGACAAAACTAAATTGAAATAATAGCTCAAGAAAAGCAATTCCAGATCAAATACAAAATCTACAAAGTCCAACATTCAATTTTATAGAAGTCAGCAAAATGTTTACAATAAGCCTCTAGGACTATATGGGTGAAACAACACCCTACATCTTATAGAGCACTGTAATTGGTATTTGTAATTGTAAGATAGTAATATGCGTAAAAACAAAATATACTCAGGACATACATTTGAAGTCTTTATAAAAGATGTTTTGAGCCCACTACAAGAACATCAAATGAGGAAGACAAAAATTATCTATTTTCTCTCAATAGGAAATAAATAATGATTAACTGACACTGTATGAGTGCACATTTACAATAAATGATAGTGACAGAAAGCAGATAGCTATGTCCATTATATTGAATGAATAACAGTAACCAGCAATAATCAGATTGCAATTCTGGTTGATGAATCCTAGCCTACGTATGCAGCACTGGTGGTTTATATAAAACCACACAGTACAGTGCAAACTTTTATATGTTTATATGCAGAAGTCCCATTGAATTTAGTGGCATTTGTTCTCAGGTAAATGTATTTAGGATTGCAGTCTTAATCTTATCCTCTCCTGAATCAATTTGATGTCTTCATTAAAATTTTGTATTAAAATTCTTTTTTGAATATTTCTCTTTTTTGTAACATTTATATTTTATTTTAGTTCCAATGATCTCAAGACTGCGTACATAACTTTGCTTCCCCCCACACTCTCTGCTCGCAAAAACCTTGATAGGTAGGTCAGGCTGATAGAAAGTAATTCGCCTAACTTCTCTCAGTGGTTTTCAAGGCTTTTTGGCAACTAGAATCTAGATCTTCCAAGATCCTGTCCAACAGCCTAAACATTACATCATAATGGCTGCTGTTAATTGTCTATTTTGATTGGCAACTTATTTAGCCATCCACATGTTGGACCGAACATTAATGTACTGAAAACTATAAAGCTGGGATTTACTGGACCAAAACAACAAAGAAAAAACAGTGCAGATGTAAAACAGTAGGTTGCCATATATAAAAGAGTGACTGGATGTGTCCCTTTTCACCCACCTGCAGAACCTTGACAATGACAATGTGCGTGTTGAGTTCTCTCCTCTGCAGTTTGAACTGTATCTTTCTCAGGAAGAAGGCAGCGCTGGGTGACAGCCAGCACAATGACAAAGACTGTGGTGAGACATCATGGGATGATTTAATCCATTCATAGGCAATTCAGTCTGGCATTTGCAGGTGCTTTGTGTCGGCACTGCAGTGGGAAACAAAATTCCCCAGAATAATCAGCAAGTGTGATAATAGCGTCTTGGTGAGTGTTTGTGTGTGGGGTTGATGGCAGCGCAAGGGGTCCTGTTCTTTGGAAGGACAATGCTGTAATTTGCGTAGGTCCAGCAACCATTGCCAAGTGTATCTGTGAGCATTCAATCAGCTGTTAGGAGCAGATATGGGTAATGCTTCACATCAAAATTAATAGTACTTTGTTACATTTGCCATTTCATACCATGCTCATAAAAGAAAGCACATATGTGTTGCTTATGGTATTTTTATTGTGAGTAATTAGTCAAATTAGATAGAATCCACTAGATAACATGAAATATTCCATTAACAAATATTTTGCAAGATAAAATCATCCCGCCATCTGACAGATGGCATTGAATGACTTCTCTTAGCAAGTATTTAAAACAAAGCAATATACATCTATCTATCTATCTATCTATCTATCTATCTATCTATCTATCTATCTATCTATCTATCTATCTATCTCAGAGTAGATAGTGGATGGTTTCTTCATTATAGTTCTCTTTGTAATATTACCGTGATGGTCTGAATTACAGGCACCCCTCTACATGCACCTGGGTTAAGGGTGCAGGACACCAGTGAAAGTGGGAAGAACAGCAACAGCTATTATTTTATCTGAGAAAATACCTCTCTAGAAATCTCTAGGTCCTCCAGAAGGACTTTATGGTCAACTTCTGGTGTATATTGACTGTATACTGAAGGACATGGAATTTCCTAGAGAGAACATTTTTAGTTGTATCCATGAATAATCCAATCCAATGTGGAGAGTCGACTGCAGATCCAAAAGAAAGTGAAATTTCTCTGTTTGGGGGATTCTGGAAGTTGTAGTCCAACTCCCTGTTCCACCTCGTCCATGCATCTGATGAAACTGTCATCCATCCATGGAAACATGTCAAATAATATTGGTTAGTCTTTAAGTTGCTCAGGGCTCTGTTGTGTCTATAGCCCCACAACTTCTCCAGGCTTTGTGTAGGGCCGTGCAAAAATTTGGATGCGGCTCATAAATACAGAAAATCCATACTTATGACCCGATATACGAAGCCTCCTGCAACA